TTGTCTTGTAACTTCACGTTATTGCGTGAACAATTTTTTTTATCATTATGTCAGTATATAAATAAGTGATTGAGGTACGATCAATAATATTAACCGGTCGACTTTATGGAACAGTGCGTTTTTTAGTTTCAGAACTTGCGAAAGTGAAATAATAATTAAAAATGAAGCACTCGTAATTATTTTTTTTTTCACATTCTTTAAGTAGGTAGACATGCAGTTGTAGGTAATAGGTATATGTACAATACGTGTTCTACATTATTCTTTGATATGCATAAAATAGTCTTATCCGGTATTCCATGTTACCATAATATTTATACTCTATAGAACTTACAAGTTACTACTCAGAATTATAATTTAAAGTATTATTATTGTAGACTACAACTGTAGGAATAAAAATGTAACAGTCACCGTTATATCGTGTTGTACGGTAAATATTGCAATGCATGGTCACACTGTAAGAGAAATCGATAGTCAACGTAACCGGGCGGCGCCGCTTGTCCGGGTAGCCCGAGTGGCACAGATAACCTTATCGTCTCGATTCGTACAGTCCTCAAACACGTGTAAAAAGTTCAACATTTTTTTATTACACTTGTGAGTTGTGATTAAACATATAGTTTATAAAGTATTTAAATCGTTCCATCATCGAAGAGGTCAGTTATAATATGTTTATGTAAAAAGTATGAAATTGAATCACTTCCAGAAAGTCTTCATTGGATGGTAAGTCGTATATACTTTATATTAATATTGCCCAAGTACCTAACTATATAAACTTATTATTAACTTATTATTTATAAGTAATCATTTTATTATTTAGTTTTATTACGTATCCTTATTGAATTTTTAAGTATAAAATAATTTAAATAGATAGGTAACACGTTTTTCGCACTTATTTGAATAATATGATTGTTATCAATTAATACATTGATAACATAATAAGAGACATAATATTGAAGTATAGACAATAAAATATAAACAATTTCTCAATTCTTAATTGTTAATTTATATAATTACATATTTGGATTGACTACTTGGTGTAAAATAGTTTACTAGTTTATTTATCTATAAAATGTCAAACTATTTGTAAACCTATAATAAAATTATCTTTAAAAAATAATAATATAAAATAAATTATTAATTTGAATTTCAACTTAATATTGTATTACTTACTCAAATTAATGAAAAACTTTTTGGTTTATATTACTATTAACTAGTACCTACCTACTTATTGGTGATAAAAATTTTAAATGTTTATTATVACAAAAATATAATTTTAAAGCTGCATAAAAATTCAGTAATAATTTCAGTGCTCTGTATCTTTCATTAGTATAGAAAAATATATATCATTACATTAGACTATCCTCTATTCATTATCGTTTTAATTAAAATTTAAACTAATAAGTACCACAATGTTATATTGTGAGAAATGTCTACCCTATTATTTAATCTAATAATATTGAATAATTAATATATAGTGAAAGTTTTAACATTTTTTATTTTTTAGGTCAATTGTTATTACCGGTGGACTTTATTCATTTGTTCTATCTAAGCGATATGTCGATTCCAAACGTTATGATAGTATGAAAGCTAGAGAACGTATGCGCCTATCAAACATAGGAGAATACAATCCAAGTCCAAGAAAGTTCTAATTGAATTTTTTTTTTAAAAATATATCATTATGGCTGGAACACAAGTACAATTACCACAGAACCTCACTACCTTRCAACAAGTGGAATTAGACATGATGGCAGATATGTATGGTCGTATGACTGAAACATGCAGAAAGAAATGTGTCAAGCCAGAACATAAGGCGGGCGAACTGAATAAAGGAGAAAGTGTATGTTTGGATAGATGCATCGTCAAATATTTCCAAATGCATGAGAATGTCGGCAAAAATTTAAGACTTGATTTTAATGCAAAATAATTGTATCCATAGAACAATTTAGTGGAACTCATAATATGATAGAAAAAAAAATGTATTAAAATTTGTTAAGTACAAGATCTAATTGATTGTAAGTCAGGTTGAATATTTGAGATTGAAAAATTGTTTATTTTATAATGTACTAAACTGGTTAGAATAATAATTGTAGATTCCTAATAGGGTCTTAGATATTATATTAGTCTTCAAATTATCTAAGAGTTTTAATAAAAGGATAAACTTTTCAATATATTGTTATTTATTTTAGAGTAAAACAATTATTATTTAATTAAATTGTTTTGAAGTTATTTTTACTGTTATTTTAATTACTTAAAACATTTAATKATGAGGAATGTTGTTGGTAAATGTGCCTTATGTACAAATGAATGTCATAAAATGTAAACTTCTGTTGGTTTCTATTAGAATCACAATACACAAATTGTATTGTACAAACTTCTACCTACAATTGTGTGTGTGGATTTAGAAGGCTCACTAATGACATAGGTTAAATTTATATGTATACTGGTAGAATCAAATATTCATTGTTATGTTTAATAATGGTACTTTGACAAAATGGAATAACAATTTGGTCACATTAACATATGCATTATTCAAGTTTTGGTATGATAACAAGTAAAGTAAACGCATGTCACTATCTTAAGTTTTAACTACTTGTGTTGTAATGTAACTTACAAATAGTGAATAAATAAATACTTAACAATG